TGACCTGAATCCTATTGAGATGTTGTGGTATGACCTTAAAAAGGCCGTTCATGCTCGAAAACCCTCTAATGTAACTGAATTAGAACAATTCTGCATAGATGAGTGGGCCAAAATTCCTCCAGAACGCTGTAAAAGACTCATTGCAAGTTATCGCAAACGCTTGGTTGCAGTTGTTGCTGCCAAGAGTGGCCCAACCAGTTATTAGGTTTAGGGGGCAATCACTTTTTCACACAGGGCCATGATGGTTTGGATTTTTTTTCTCCTTTAATAATAAACACCTTCATTTACAAATTGCATTTTGTGTTTACTTGTGTTGTCCTTGACTATTGTTTAAATTGCTTTGATGTTCCGAAACACTTAAGTGTGACAAACATGCGAAAAAACAGGAAATGAGGAAGGGGGCAAACACTTTTTCACACCACTGTAAATGTATTTTTTATTACAGATTTAAGTTGTTGAAATTCTAAACATTACTGATTTTTTTATTTTTGGATGTCCAGCATTATGTTTTATTCCTATGTGAACACTCCCACAACAAAATTGCAGTTTTGTTAGCACAGATTAATTATTCATTCGGGGACAAAATAGGATTCAGGTTTTTGAGTACAAGTCATTATTCAAATACATTGGTCATAAATTGACTCATTATGGACACCTGCTGAGGAATATGTACATTCCTATTATATCAGAATCAAGCTGTCATAGCCATCTGGGGCATTTTATTAATACTGTCATGCAAAAACACAGATAATAATTAAAAGTATTCTCATGGTGAATATTTGTTGCATTTATCAGTTCTTCCTTTGTATAGTCCTGTTTTTCTATTAAAATTATGTTTCATTTTTTTCAAATGCACAACCTTATTTTGTTTCATAGGCCTTGTCCTGATGAACCAGCAGGGCTAAAAGTAACTCTGCCTCAAAGCATTGTGAAACTTGGTGAAACCTTATCTGGAGACATCAGTAAGCTTAAACTTGATCATTTAAAATAAATAGTTTTAGATTTAGTTTTACGTTTTGTGACTTTATATCTTTTCCTTTCCATACAGAGCTGGAACTTGTGGACCAGTATAATAATGTAACCAAGAAGCTGACCTCCACCTGTGGGAAATCCTTTTCTGCAGAAGCCGAAGGTCTTGACA